TGATGTTATAGATGTAAGCTAAGAAAAATATATAAACACAAACACTATTTTGAAGAACAAGGTTTTCTATTCCTCTGATGCAAGAAAAGTACTAGCAGTATGCCAGCAATTTTCAATCTTTCACTACGCAAGCTCCTAAAAATATTCCATTAGAGATAAATACTTTTGCCTAGAAAACTCAAAGCTGCTAAGAGTAGGCTTGTTTTTTCCTTAGTTCACTTTTGTAAAGTCCTTACAAACAGACCATGGCATCTTGTGGTCTGCAATTGCAGGCTGAAGAAGTACTCTAGTATATAATCATCAAAAAAGAGCTCAAAAATCGTAATGATTACATGTATCTCAAAGGCAACGTGGAAGTCTATATTTCATGCCTGTTTAGACCACAAAAGAAAACCCCGAGGAACAGATCAGTCCCTGTTCCAGGGGTCCTGTTTTCTAATCACAGCGTGTTGAGGCTCAGATGCACAGTGTTTTCTGATAAATCCACTTCATCTTTACTGGAGACACTCTGCTGACCCTTGCCTGCTTCTGTGAAACCACTGAAGCACGTGCATCTCTTTCCAATAACCAAGCGTAGCATCAGCTCATCTTTGCCACAGACTTAGTACATTCAGTCACTGCCTTTTGTGGACTCCAGTTTTATGATCCCCATTGCCTCGTTTTTTCACCCCGCTTACTTCTGATTCTAACCTTTAATACTTGAAGCATACGAATGTTCCATGGCATCCACCGTGTGAGAGAACTAAGCCTCAACCATAAGTCATTTTTTTGGCCAACTAACTACTGTACAGAGCAGAGCAAAAGCTAGTCTAAGGCTTTTAAGTGACATATGCTCAAAGCCAGTCATTTGTGTCTCCACGTGCGCTGGAATTTCCCTGAGCACAAGCTCTGTTAAGTGGAACTGCAGTACTTCAAGCCATACTTCCTACCTCCAGGCTTTGGTAATCATGGAATCATAGAATGGTTTGGTTTGGAAGGGACCTTAAAGCCCATCTAGTTCCAACCCCCCTGCCAGGGGCAGGGATACCTTCCACTAGACCAGGTTGCTCAAAGCCTCATCCAGCCTGGCCTTGAACACTTCCAGGGATGGGGCATCCACAGCTTCTCTGGGCAACCTGTTCCAGTGCCTCACCATCAGAACAGATAAGGCTCTGAGAACAACACATCCCTACATACTTACAGACCTTCAGAGAAGGTTTGACCCCTACAGCACCCTCAGCAGTGACCATGAATAAAACCCAAAGTTTTGGCTAGCAGGAACTGGTAAATAAAATTTTAGTTGCAAAAAAGCCTAATTTGGCTTCATACTGTGATTTATTTTAACTCAATTAAGGTTAACCGATGAACACAAGCACTTGGAGGCTAGTTTTTTCCAGAAAGGTCTCACTTAAGGACTACAGCATAAAGGTTTCAGTGGCATCACTTCAGACTTCAGTTCACCCCCAACAGAAATATGTCTGCATTGCCTTCAACCAAAGCTTGTCCTAAGGACACTTACAAAGAGACAAACAGACAGGACAGCATACACTGAACTCAAAAGTAAAAAGCTCTCAGCAACAAAGGCAGCAAGATTACACCCCTTTGTTCCTACTAGGGTCACAGGGACACAATTACTTACACCTGCAACAAAGAGTCTGTTTAAATAAAAAAATACTTCTTTCAAATATACCTGTGGCATATGATTTCAGTTGGATTTAACACCACACAAAGTCTAGAAGGATTTTTTTAAAGAACAAACTGGGTTTAGCCAGAATAAAATTTTGCCTCTAAACAGTTCAAAAACAACATGAAAATTTATTTGCAGAAACTCCTGCCCATTCTGCCAAGATCTCTCCTTTGATCTTGATTCTGTAGAACATTCATCTTGTTTTCAGAATATACTTAATTTTTTATTCCAAATTAATCGCCAAGTTGCTTCAACAAACAGTGGAAACATTTGAAGGGCCGTAGAATGTACCCAGACTCACTAGATCTGTCCTAAGGCAGCAGTCTCCAACCTTTTTTGATGGTGCAAAAAGTAAATCAGTTTTTGAGCACATACCCCCAGTATATGCGTATGTATACACTATATACACGTGCCACTGTACTACTATATCATATACATTATGAAACATACACAGAAAGAGAAATTCAACAAGGATGAGAACGATGAAAGAACCACCACTAGAACAGCTGCAGAGCACTGAATCTTAGGAGTTTTGTGACAGAGTCTGGCAGAAAAAAAAGAGTTGGCCAAAGCTGTTAGATTGCAACTACAGTAAGATGCAGTTGCATTCCTCACTATAACTTATGAGTTGTAATCGGTCAGGGTGCTGCACATCAGCAGGCAATGTATCGGTGCCGCTCTTTAAACCTCAGTTATGAATAAAGGATTTTCCACTGGATGAAGTCCTTCCACACACTAACAATACTTAACAACTCTTCTCCCCCTGAGTATTTCTACTTCTGGAGCTAATACCAGATAACTTCAAATATAACAGTACACAAAGCTTTGCTTTGGAATAAGCTATTAAATGATTGCCTACCTCCTTCTATTCATGGATATCTTCAAAGAGCACAAGACACAAACTGATGCAGAGTTCAGTGAGTAGACTTTACAGCATTTTCTGCCTTTCTGCCAACATCTTGCCTTTCACAACTTTTCGTTTGTATTGAAAAATTATTGTTTGGGGGGGAGAGGGGAGGGGAAATAAGCTGTTCAAACAAATAAAGTATTTTTCTCTTTCAAAGCAGATAAGTTTTAATCATGATTTGTTTTGCTAAATCACAGCTATCAACACTGCTTATCCCAAAAGTTACAGGACTGCAAGAAACAGAGCAGTCTCATAAGCTGCTGGCCTTGGAGCACACAGAACCTATCTCCACTATTCCAAGACTGTTCCGTGCTCTTATTTATAATGGTGGCTTAAAGATGTTTAGCACTTAACAATGCATAAAGACAAAGGCTTAGAGCCTCAAGGAGTTTACACAAGTTCAATCTCCCAGACCTGCAAGTGGCACTGCATGGCTGGGCTGGCACTAAGCAGAAGCACAATTGCTATGCAAATGGCACGAGTGGGTCTCAAGTTCAAAGCAGACCAAGGAAGGCTGTTAAAGCACGGAGCCCTCTCTGCCCAGCTTGTGCCAGACAAAAGTTAAAAACCAACCCAACACAAAAAAAAAACCCCACAACCAAAAAATCCCAAATAAGAGCTTTCAGCCTTGCACTCCTGTGAAGGTGAAGAACTCTGCCCTCAACGCTCCTCTTAAGCCAGGAAAATATATCCCTACCACCAAAGCCCTGCAACCAGTGATGGCTTTTTTAGCCACCCAGCTTTTCATAGACCTTATCCCTGCAGAAGCCACAATTTACTTCCCCTCCCAACACAGAGGAAAGAAACAGCACACAACCAAAGCTAAACCACTTGCATATTATAGGCACATCTTCCCCTGAACACCAGGGATAAAGCTATCTATGAGAAACATACTTGGTTCGCATCTCTGCTTCATCTTTCTTACCATTCAAAAAAGCCCTTTAGTTTGCAAATAAACAAGAAAATGAGTATTCTGTGCTTCCTCAGCCAGGTCTTCTGCTTCTAACTGTCCTATTTCTTGCTAGGAAGGGATGTTTTGTTCTCCCTTTCTACTTCCCTTCTTTCAAAATATTACAGAACTCCTTCCTAGGTAACTATTTCTTAGCTGTCAAATGCCCAATTAGTGACAATATCATCTTTTTTCCCCTATTATGAGCAGGCTCTGCTCTACGAGCTGTGTCCCTATGATCAGGTCCATCATAAAAGGACACACAATTTATGTAATACAAATTTTATCAGAAACACACACTAAGCTTCCTAAAATCCCCAAACCCACTACGGACATACTTCATTCAAACATAATTTTTCAGTGATAAATATATAACCTTAAATTAACTGGGTTATTAGGATAATGATTAAATAGATAATACCAGTTTTCTCTTCCTAAAAAACATAGATTCCCTTTCTCAATATCAAGCTGTTGTAATATCTGGGCAGGTTTCCTGTTTGTTATTTAAAGTCACTGCCAAAACACAGAACACAGTGCAACTGGTAAATACTGACCTGACCTAATCACATTGGCCCATGCTTGCTAGAGAATAAAGCCGAGAATTGAGGTGATGAAGTTAGACCCTACTTTCACAAGACGTCAATACTGCAGCTATATTTTCCTATTATTTTATTTGAACAGCACAGAGTCATCTGTCTTCTGCTGCTGCTTCATGGAAAAACCTTTCAGTCAATACTGCAGCTATATTTTCCTATTATTTTATTTGAACAGCACAGTCATCTGTCTTCTGCTGCTTCATGGAAAAACCTTTCATATACTGACCAGATAGCCTAGAAGCAAACACTTATTTTGCAAGCCTGTATATTCTCTGTCCACAGCCCAGGTTGCTATCATATGGATACCTCAGCACATAAAGTGAGCAGACAAAGGAAAAGATTAAACATATAGCAATGCAGTTTAAGCACAAGGTTGCAGTCTTTTAACCCTGTGTTAGTAATGTATCTATCTACCCGCATCTGTAAATACATCCCGTTCCCTCCCTCCACTTCTTTAAAAAGTTTTACGTGCAGATGCTAGGGGTCATTGGACAGGGGAGATAAGGAGAGTTTTTCTCTATTGCAAATGAAATTAACCCTACAGAGCAACACAATCTGTCCATGGAACAGCAAAGACAGGAGAAACCCTTACTTGCAAGAGATTTAAGCCATTTTTAATACCACGAGCCCACTAAACGTAACGCGCATTTCTCTTTATCCACAGGTATTGCTTTTTCACTTGTGTGATCAAGTCATGCACATCATATGAAATGACATGACTCACGAGGATTTGGCTTTATGTGCAAGAACCAAACATGGTATCGTTTCAGCACTACACCCCCCTAATGCCTACATCTCTCCCTGAAACCGCACTAGAAATACATTTGTAATAGGCAACACAAACTACTGCAGGATATAAAAATTAACTGAAGTTGTACTTACTGTAACCTGGGAAGCATCCATGAATTGTAGGCCAAAGTAATCAGTTTCCACAAGGTCCACATGATACACAATCTGGTCAAACAACTCCTGTCCCTTTGCATTTTTCTGCAACAGAAAAGAAAATGGTTGATTTGTGGGTAGGTGTGGGTGGGTTTCCTTTGAAGTTGCAATGGGGGAGAGGAAATGCACAATGGAAAATGATATCTAAATAACAATTCTAACTCTTCTAAAGAACTGTACTGACATTTCTTCCTATTTTCTCCATAAGAGATACAGTGACACATTGTTCCTGCCTGCAGCTATTCTAACAGCATCAGACTTGTGCCCTCAAAGGAAACTTTCTAAGTTGGCTGTAACTTAAAGAGTAGGAGAGAAAGGAAAGGCTATGTCCTGTAAGCGTCCCGAGTCACAGAGCCGACCTTTTAACTCCAGGAAGTCAAACTCTCCAGTAAAAGCTTGCCTGACACACTGCCTGAAATCTGATGGCTGTTACCACGTATTAGCTACAGTCATGCAGTGCCATACCACCACTCAAGCTGCAAAATAAATTCTGGACAGCTTGAATACTTGAAGAGCACTGTGAGGCATATCAATGGGATTTGATAAGAATCTTTCAATAATGTTGCTAATCACCATCACATTTACAGCCTTTAAATAGAGAAACAAAAAAGGCCAAAAAAAAAAAGAAGCAGCTACAATTCTTACTTGGCATGCCATCTGAAACATGTAGGCATGGAAACAAAACTAGCCACAGTGATGGGCTACAGGTGCTAGTAGAAAAGTTAGCTGATCTTAAAGCTAGGCTGCGTTGGCCTGCGTACTTGTTCTGAGCTTAAGCCAAGAATTAGATACCCAGTGCTTCAACTTCAAACACCAGAAGAAGCAAAGCTTGGAGGTTACAGGTGGGCAGGAGGAAAAGGGAATAACAAACCAATTTTTCATGCAAATCCTGTGGTGTTACTTGGGGAAGGAAGTTTTCAAGTTCTTGAGGAAAAAAACCAAAAAGCCTTGGCTAAAAATACACGAGATGATCATAAATCTCAGTAAGAGACAGAGGCTACAGGTGTATTTTATACAGGAAAGTGCAGATCTGGAAGCACTTCTGTGCCTGCTGTCCCTCGTACACCTTCAAAGATCTAAAAAAAAAAAAAAAAATTTAAAACTAATATATTAGGCATGCCCACTTCAACTCCAAATGTGACAAAATGTACTGATTTCAGCTGAATGAGAGCTAAATAGCATTCAGGTCATTTAGTCCGGCCTTCTGCACAAAAGCAGCATCAATCATAACATGCAGCACTCCTGTCCAGGATTCCAAGCTGTCTAAAAATCTGTCTTCTCCAGCAACATGCAAGATGAAGAGTTTCATCTCTCTCTTTTTCCAAGAAGGTCTAAGCAATCTTAGGTGTAGGTAGCAAATTTTATTTGACTTTTTTAGTTTTGTTCTGTGTTTTTTTTTTTTTACACTAACAAAGCAGAAGCAGCACAGAAATTGAATCTTATTTAATTACAGGAGCAGCATTAGGAGCTCCATTAAAACAAGCTGCATAAAAACTGAAACAAGCATCAATTGATCACTGTAAGATACTGCTTAATTATTTTTGAGGCACAAGAGGTGAATAATAGACATTCTTAATCAAAGTTCAAGATGCTGTTTAGAAAGCACATGAGAACAAAAGTTCTTTAAAGCAGTACATTGCTAAGAAACCGTCATCTTATACGTACAGTAATTGCTATAAACCAAACAAAAAGTTTGCTAAAAAGTATTCAGAATGTATTTTCTCATATGTAGTAGATTTAGCACTTGTTAAAAGAAGCTAAACCAAAGCACAAGAAAATTTAAACTGATTCTGCTCAAACGAGGGTGGAGGAAACCCTCCAAAGGAATAAAAAGGAAACGTCAAGACATGAAGAATTCATCAAACTAGGCAAAACAGAGTGATGCCCTATGATCACTCTATTCCTGGTTGCTTGCTTTGTGGCATTAACTACCAGTATGTTTATCTTCGACTGCCTCACACCCAATAGAAAACAGGGAGAGCACACTCCGCCTTCTGTACGCAAACAGTAGTTAATGTTCAACATGCGTGTCACGCGGAGAATACCTCTGCACTGCACGGCTAGACCATAAAACGCACTGTTACACGCATAGCTTACAGGAGATTAAAACATTTAATTTGGCACTAAATGAGCTTTCCCAGCAACTCATATCACTTACATGATAAAGCTGCTGCAGCCAACAAATTGCTGACAAAAAACATTCTTTGAGATGTTGCACTAAAGGGGGAGATAAAAGCAACTAACTCCTTTCCTCTACTAACCATAAAGGATGACCTGCTCTCCATCCTTCACCCTCTCCACTGCCTGACAACCTAAGGAGTCAGACTGCAGACTGACAAGTTGGTACCTGTGCACTGAATGAAACAGGTCTTATAGGCAAAAGAGAAGGGGTTTTCCTCAGGAATTACATATGCCCACATGCACACAGGTGGCCTCTAAAGGAAAAAATGCCCATATTATGAGAAGTTTTGATTTTCATGGTCTTCTCCTCCTCCCCTACTTCTAGACAACACAGCAGATAAACAAATGCTTTCTCTATCAAAACCTGGTACCACATAAAGAATATGAAACTGATTTCATACAAGAAAATGTTCACAGTAGATCTAATCACTTGGAATTTAACAAATCATACTTTCTCTACAGTTCCCCAACTTGTGCATATGTTTGGAAGTTACGTGTTCAAAAAAAGGCAACCTTATACTAGGAATATTTTTCAGTCCCTACCTTGTTAGACAGATGATTCAGAACTGTCAGCTATAAAAGACCTGCATAACTTCCAACTCAAAAAAGGGACTACCTGACAACAAACAATACACACATACTATTATATATAGTTACTACTTTGTGGTTATGAAAGTTACTATAATTGGCAACAGTGATGTAAGGGAAGCTACAAAACCTTGTTCGTGGTTTGGAGTTTTCAGTTTCTTTTGTTTTTTTTTTTAAAAGCCCAACAGTTAAACCACTGTCAGTTTCTGCTGGAGTGTTCCTTGGAACCCAGGAGAACTTGTGTGAGCACCATGAAGCCTCATGGGCAAACACTGGGGGCATGAGGGGGGGTAGGGGGGTGTAGGCACATTTCAAATGTTCGGTTTACTAACAAAACTACAGCTGTAACCCAAGATAAAACTGAAGTAACATGAGGCAGTCACCTGTGCTCCCTTTTGCCTCAGTTTGTCTCCCAAACTGAATAGTGAGTAGCAGCAGAAATTAGAAGGTAGGGCACATTTAGTTTCTTTTTCTAAAGAAAGCACAGGATTGTGTATTCTACAATATGACAAATACTTTTGCAGAGTCATGATCACAGACACCAGGTTTTAGCTTCTACTAAGTTAGTAAAGGTGCATTTGTAGCTAGCAATCCTCTGCTCTGTAGGCCTTATACTGCTCTATTCTAATGGCATCAGCTTCAAATCTCCTTGGCATTTTCTTGAACAGGGTATCTTGGTATGTTCTGCTTGGTCCCCTTACACCTGAACTGTTACTAACACATTTCAAACCTACAGCTAAGGTTTTACCTGCTAGACGTATTGCTCAGTAGTGAGAACTCTGCCTTGTAACAGTCACTGGCAATGTCGTTTCCCAGCATTTCAGACATGCTACAGGCATAAAAAGCATAAAGCCATCTGGGTTTCTAATCCGCCTGAACTCCTGGTGCTCGTTATCATCTGTCCTTTAATTTGCTTTCTTCTAGATACTCAAGCCCTCAGTTTCTCAAACACATTCACCTGTACTAAAAGAAAGCAGTATTTGCATAATTATAATCTTAACAATGTAACTGCTTCTATATTCTGAGAAATGTGCTCATCAGGTCCCCTGGGAAAAGCAGAGGCAGACACCACTCCCTGCATCCTCTAAGCTTGGTCACTGGGGATTATGTGACTACAGTGAAGTCATCCTTTGGAACATGACTCTTGCAGGCACGTCGGACAACTAAAAAGAACTGCGCATTACACAGCACAATTACTGTACCTAACAGTGATGCAGCTGAGGCCACAGCTGGGCTTGCAGAAACTGCACTGAAAACCGTGCTATCCAGCCCTGCAATGCTGCTACAGTAAGCATTGCCAAAGGTGGTAATATTTTTCCAAGTTCCAGATTCCATGCTGCCATCCAGGGATGTCATGCTACTGAGAACATGCTGCTCCCTGGAAACTAGCCGTGGCCTTGGTGCCTACCCCACCATTCTCCCAGGAACCTAATGAGTAGATTCATAAGAATATGGACTGAGTTCCATTTTTGTGCTTAAAATTATGCAAATAATGCTGTCTTTCAATATACAATACATTCAATGTTAAGACTAAAGGTAAAGCAAGCTACTTCTTAATGCATTGTTTCAGATGGGGCTAACTAACTTGCTTGAGCTCCTTGAAGATGTTCAACCATTGACTCAGGTTTTTCAGTTCTGGCTCCAAGCTCACTTAAAAAAAAAAAATCCATCGCTGTTCAAACGACCATTAAGGCTCTCACCTGTCACGGCAGAAACAGCAGCATTGCTTCAGAGCCTGCTACTGCATGCCAATTATGTTTAAATAGAGTCTGGACCACAGAAACGAGCTGCATTCCTGAACGTGCCCAGAAGAAAATGCAACTGATGATGTATGCGAACTTTCAGCTGAAGGAGAACAAAATTCATTCTAAACCTTTTGAGAAATTAGCTAAAAAAAAGAGCCAAAATTATCTTAACCTCCACCTGCAAAAAAAAAAAACCAAACCAAACCAAAAAAACCCAACACAACACACCAAAAAACCAAACCCAAACCGAAGCAATAAAAATGCCAAACACATACAAACACCACCAAAACCCAGCCCTTCACCAGGACACAAAAAAAATCCCCTGAACGGCCTTTATTTATTATAACCTTGAAATCACAAACACTTTGCTCCCAGTCATTTTTGTCAATACCCAAACTAAAACTGCTATTTCCTGAGGAAAAGCAGCTTATGAGCAAAGCAAAAAAACCCCAGCCAACAAACCAAGCCACTCCTTCAAATCACTCTCAAAGTCTCCCATACAACTAGGACTCTCACAAGTCACATCCCTTC